AGATGGAAGGGTAGAAAAGTGGACAATACACAAAACCATTGGTAGTTTGATGAAATATATAATCTTTGGAAAGTGATATATTGGGTTTTAGTTGGGTGGGTAGTTAATTGCATGCATCTTCAAAGGGGTTTACAATCTCCTCATGTAGAGTCCTGTAGCTCTTTTTAGTGCACAGCAGGATTTTAAACATTGAGAGCCACTGTAGAAGGGATCTCTTTACCTGGAAAATAAAGTGGTAGTGTTAGTGATCATAAAAGACTGAGACATGATCTTGTAGCTCTAGAAGTTAACTGGGCAAAGAGGGAAAAGATAACAAAATTTGAATCTTATTTTCATTAGTTAGGTGTAGTTCTGTGTTATTTCAAGAATGACTCAGGATTGTGGTCTATAGTAGGAGGACTTGTGTGAAAATGAAGTATGTGGCAATTTTTGCCTGTTGTTTATTAGATCAGTTGCAAAAGCTGGGATTAAAATTAATCATTGCATTCCTATTGATAACCCAGCCAATAAAAGTTGAATGCAGTCTCTTCTTGAGAGAAGGGGTATTGAGAGAATTAATTGGATTTTAACATACTAATGACCTATAAGCTTTGTATAATTGATGTTGCTTTGGAAATTATGGAGTGATTTTCTTGTGGAGTTGATGAAAACATTTTTAGAATAGGAGGGATTTTCTTTCCACATATCAGGAATCTGAAAATTGTAAATACATTTGATGAGGCTAGCAATCTTTGCTTTGGTCCTTGACACGCATCAAGTGCCTTTTAAAACCATACAGTTAGTAACTGAGTTGGGATCAGAACCCTTTTCTCTTTTTTCATAATCTCATGTATTTCCTCTACTATATCACATTGCTCTCCAGTGTAGAATCTGAAGGCCATTAATATACTGAAATTATATTCTTCAGGGAACTTTGAAGGACTGTTAGTATTAATACTTACTATATAAATTGTCATATGTTGAAAGGAGATCAGACATTTAGGAAACTTGGCATTATTTTTGGTAATTTTTCGTTCTATCTTGAAAACTTAGAAGAATATAGTTTAGTGTATGTTGATCAATTTTTAATGACAGTGAAGATTTTTGAACAAAACCAATTAGTACTGTTTTTAAATTGTTTTTTAAAACAAACTTGTTAGATTGTTTTATTCTGCAGCTTGTAGGAATCAAGTACAATATCCTAGCTTTATGTTTTCATTTTTTTTTAAATTTAAGTTTATTCTTTAAAAATTATGAATGAACTCACTTATTACCACAACCAGTGACCATGTAATTTTAGAAACTGATATTTTGTACTTAGTACTGGAGAATATTCTATAGGTTCCCTGGAAGCCTGTAGCTAAGGCTTGATGTTGTTACGAAAGGAAATGTATCTATATGTGATTTGATTATTCTTGCTGTTTTTTAGTGAGTAAATGTCAGGCAGATGTTTCATCTTGAATATGAATACTAAAGGAATTGTGTTGTTCTGGAAAGAGTAGACAAAATCAGGAAATCATATTTAACAGTTGAGTATTCATGGATATGAAGATTGATTTTTCAAATTTTATTTATTTATTTTTAGAGACAGAGTCTTGCTCTGTTGCCCAGGCTGTAGTGCAGTAGCACTATCATAGTTCACTGCAACCTTGAACTCCTGGGCTAAAGCTATCCTCTGTCTCACTCTCCGAAGTAGTTGGGACTACAGGCATGCACCACAACACCAGGCTAATTTAAAAAAAATTCTTTTTAGAGATGAGATTTTGCTATGTTGCTCAGGCTGGTCTCGAACTTCTGGCTTCAAGCGATCTTCCTGCCACAGTCTCCCGAGTTTCTGGAACTACAGGTGTGAGTCACCATGCCTGGTGGATATGAAGATTTAAGCAGCCTTTTTGTTTGTTTAAAATTTGGGAGTTTCCCGTCTTCTCAGTATAGTAGAATAGTATAGATTTGTAATACCTGATCAAGTTATCTTTTGTTAAATTTGGAGATAAATTTATATTTTGTTTCCAAAGTGTACTCTTTTTTACAAAAATGATATGAACAGTGAGCCCATTGTTGTGAGGAAGAAGTATGCTTTGATTTCATTCTATTAATATGTGCATTTATGTATGCCTTGAATATGTAGTTTCTTGTTCCTTATGCATTCTATTGCATTTAGGTCTTTAGGATTTAAGCTTAAACATTTGTGTCCCCGATATTATTCTTTTTTTGTTTTTTGGCTAACTGACTTTTTTTGGTGGGAGGTTGGTTGCGGCTTCCCTCTTTTCTTTAGTTCTTTGTATTTTTTTTAGAGAGGAGGAAAATCTATATGAACTCTGTGT